GAAATGAATTTGAATTGGTAGATGGTTCATTATACACACGATCAGTTTTGTAAATGCTTTCAATTTTTAATGGAATGTTATAGAATGATTTTTAATGGAATCATGTTCATCATTATTCAAAGGTTTTATATAGGAATGATATCAATTTAAATGGAATTACATGCTTCCATATTGTCAATGATTGTTATACACAATTAATATTGTCACTAATTTTTTGCTATAGCTTGACTCTGCCAAACATGTTTTGTTCTTATATTTCTTGAAACGAAATACCTTGCCAAACACATTTTACCATGTTTTTGTTCCAAAATTTTCGATGCAAATTTTTGTCGCCAAACATATTTTGTTCTCATCTCAGAACACCACATTACAAAACACTTGTTATGTTCTAGGCTAAAACAAAACACTACAAAACACAACACTTTCCAAACGGGCCCTGAGCTGAGCCTTCAACATGTTGATTTCAGACATGTTCTTGCAAGTTATCAACATGTGTCATCAACATACAACAACAAGTACAACTACGAACCATCTGAGAGCTTCTTGTGATATACAAAACTGTCAAACTTACTCCTACAGTAGCCATTCCCAACCATAAAGGTGTCAAATCGCTTGTACCACTGTCTAGGAGACTGCTTCAACCCATACAAGGACTTCTTCAGTAGGCAAACATGATATTCCTTTCCTAGAATCTCAAACCCCTCAGGTTGATGCATATAAATCTGCTCTTCCAACTCACCATGCAAGAAAGCAGTCTTGACATCAAGCTGCTCAAGCTCCAAGTCATACAAAGCAACCTTAGCAAGTAACACCCGAATTGAGCTATGTTTTACTTCAAGAGAAGACACTTCATTGAAGTCCACCCTTTCCCTTTGTGTATAGCCCTTCGTCACCGAGTGTGCCTTGCACCTCACATCTTCCACCCCTGGAGTTCCTTCTTTCTTCTTGAAGACCCATTTACAGCCCACAATCTTCTGGCCCTTAGGCTTCTTAACTAGCTCCCAAGTCTGGTTCTTATGAAGAGACTCAATCTCCTCACTCATGGCGACAGACCACTGTGTTGACTTTCCACCTGTGATGGCCTCATGATAAGTACATGGCTTATCAATATCCTCTGCCCAACTAAGTGCATAAGCAATCGAATTAGCATGTGAAAATCCATACTTCTTAGGTGGCCTGATATCTCTCCTATGCCCGTCTTTAGCCACACTATACTGCTGTAACTGTGCATCTCCCTTAGCTCGAAATTGCACCTGCTTGTGAGTTGATCAAACAGGACTATCCTCTAACTGAACCTCTACATGCTCCACTTGCTCACTGACACCCTGAGCTCTCCCTGAATCAACTACCTTCTTCTGCGGAGTAAGCATTGCAGACTCATGAAAGGTCACATCCCTGCTAACAAGTATTTTTTTTCCCAAAGCCTCTGGGCACCATAATTTGTATCCCTTGACCCCGGGCTGATAACCAAGAAATATGCATTTCTTAGCCCTCGGTTCAAGCTTCCCCTCATTCACATGAGCATACGCTGGACCCTTAAATATTCTCAGATTACTAACCAGACCATACCTTCTTTGGAGTCTTAGAATCGATAGCAGTCAAACTAGTTGTAGAAACAGCTTTAACCCAAAACGCTTTGTCTAACCCTGCATTGGACATCATACACCGTGCCCTCTCCAACAGCGTTATGTTCATTCGTTTTGCAACTCCATTCTGCTGTGGAGTTTTCCTCACTGTGTGGTGTCTCACAATCCCGTGAATCTTGCAGAACTCATTAAATTCTCCATCACAAAATTCCAAGCCATTGTCTGTCCTCAAGCGCTTTACTTGTTTTCCAGTCTGCTTCTCAATTAAGGTCTTCCACTGCTTGAATGTAACAAAAGTCTCATTTTTGTGCTTTAGAATATAAATCCAAACTTTTCGAGAAAAGTCATCAATCGGTGCCATCATATATCTACCACCACCATGTGAAGTAACAGATGGTGGTAACGTTCTCACAATCTCATCATACATCTTGATTTGAACTGTACCGATACCTACAACCTTACACACCGCATCATTCCCCATTAGAAATTCCCCTCCATCAATCAATAAGAGGTAAACTAGTCCCTGTTTGGACAAGCATGAAACGAGCAACCCGAATCAAGTATCTACTCATCGCAAGAGTTGCCGACTGAAATTGTGAGAACGTTACCACCATTTGAATCACTACCCTCTGCAACAACCACACTTCCAACTTCAGAGGGTTCTCCCTTTCCCTTCTTACGCTCTGGACAATCTTTTTTGAGGTGCCCTTCCTTGTGACAAATGTAGCATCTCAACACCTTCGTTGCTTCTTCAGTCCTTCATCACCATAAGAGCACCCTTTGAAACCCGAATGACTCTACCTCCAGCCTTGTAAGTGCACCTGATGGAATCCAGCGTACCTACGGAAATCAATTCCTTTCTCAGTTCTGGTACATGCTTGACATCAGTCAATGTTCTCACAATCCCATCATACATCTTGATTTAAACTGTACCGATACCTACAACCTTACACACCGCATCATTCCCCATCAGAAATTCCCCTCCATCAATCGATAAGAGGTAAACCAGTCCCTGTTTGGACAAGCATGAAACAAGCAACCCGAATCAAGTATCCACTCATCGCAAGAGCTGCCGATTGAAATTGTGAGAACGTTACCACCATCTGAATCATTACCCTCTGCAACAACCACACTTTCAACTTCAGAGGATTTTCCTTTCCTTTCTTACGCTCTGGACAATCTTTTTTGAGGTGCCCTTCCTTGTGACAGATGTAGCATCTCAACACCTTCGTTTTGTTCTTAAACTTAGAACGACCTTTGCTGCTAGACCCTCCTTTCTGATTTGTTCTCCCTCTAACAAACAGCCCCTCTGCCGAACTTTCTGTATTGCCCTCAAACGCCTTTTTCTGCAACTCCTTGGAAATCAGAGCTGCCTTCACATCTTCCATGGACAAAGTAGTTCTGCCATATATCATTGTATCAACAAAGTGCTCATATGAGGGTGGTAGAGAACACAACAGAATAATAGTCCGATCTTTCTCCTCTATCTTGACATCAATATTATTCAAGTCTATGATGATACTGTTTACCTTGTCAAGATGGTCTTTCAAAGACGAACCTTCGTGCATCTGAAGAGTGAACAACCGCTTCTTTATATACAAGCGGTTCGCAAGAGATTTCGTCATATCTCGGGACTCTAACTTTTGCCACAGTCCATCCGCTGTAGTCTCTCCAGCAACTTCTTGCAGAATCTCGTTACTCAAGCACAACAAAATTGTACTGTGTGCTTTCTCCATAACCTCATCTTTGTTCTTAATCTTTTCTGGCAGTGCATCCTTCCCATTTAACGTCTTGGATAACCTTTATTGAACCAACAGAGCTTGCATCCTAACATGCCACAGGTTCAAATCGTTTCTGCCGTTAGACTTCTCGATTTCCAGAAACTTGGACACCATCCTGCTTCGAACCGAAAGCTCTGATACCAGTTTGTTATGACAAACGCAGCGAACCCAAGATAAAACCAAGAACCACGACAAAAAAGTAAGCACACCACACAAAGAATACAAAAATTTAGATGTGGTTCGGCAACAATCTACGCCCACGGTGGAGATCCGGCGAAAGTCTTCACTATGTGTAAAATCGGAGATTACAAGGTTTTAGCCCCTCATTCTATTTCTGTACGAATTTTAGAAGTCTCTCTTCCATCACTCCAAATCTAAGCGCCCTTATATATCGGGCTATAAGAGACTAATTAGGATCTACGACCCATGAGCAAAAACGGGTCAAATTTTTTTTCTCGGGGCCAAGGCCCCGAAACCCTAGAGCTTTGGTGGGCTTGGGCCCACAAAATGCTCATCCAACGGGTTGTAAGCAAGTCGCAACGCGACCCGGCACCAAATTCGGGCCACAATATCACAGTTATCATAGTCTTTCTCCAAATCAATAAAAATCATATGGAGATCTCCCTTCTTCTTTCTATATCTTTTCATTAGTCTTCTCAATAAGTCAATAATCTCCATTGTTGACCTACTTGGCATGAATCCAAATTGATTTTTCTGACACTTCCGTCTCTCGTCTTAGGTGTGGTTTACTCAGTCTCTCCCAAAGTTTCAAAGCATGACTCATTTATATGATACCACATTGTACGTCCCCTTTATTTTCATATATTGGTTCTAGAATACTTTGGCGCCATTCATCCGGCATCCTCTTAGTTGTTATTATCTTATTAAACAATTTTGTTAACCATGACAAGTCAATTTTTTTTTCCTTGTTCAAGACAAGTCAACTTCTCCCAGACACTTCCACGCCTCAATAGGAATGCCATGGGGGTCCTAAAGCTCTGTCCGATTTCATCTTCCTTGAGGCATTCCTAACCTTCCACTCCTTGACCCTAAGGAAAAATATGTTGTCTCTAACGTATTCTTCTAAGCCTAGATTTTCTATATGGTTTTCATTTATTAATTTCTCAAAATAGCTTTTCCATCTTTCTTTAATTTCACTGTCTTTTACTAAAACCTGTGAATCTTCACTCTTAATTCATTTAACATGGCTAAAATCTCTAGTTTTCCTCTCATTTAGCTTAGCGAGTTTATATATAATCTTTTGTGCCTAGTTTAGAATAGAAATCGTAATGCCCTATGTTTTGCCTCACTTGCTATTTTCTTAACATCTTTATTTACTTTTTTATATTTGTCAAATGTTTCACTATTTTTAGTTTTTTTGCCAAATTTTATAGCATCCCTGTTTTGTTTTTACGACTTTTCGGACTGGCTCATTCCACCACTAAGTTTCTTTAAATAATTGTCTCGTTCCTTTTGATTCTCCTAGGACTTCTTTTGCTACTCTTTTAATATATGTAGTCAAAGAGGCTCTTTCCTGTATCTCAAAATATTTTCTACTTTCATATGCAGTACTTTACCATAAAACCATGCTGTGTCATGCACTTTGTTTATACCAACTGTTTTTGTGCTGTAGTGCGCAGGAGTTTTGTAGTGTGGGTGATGATTCTTGCCTTATATTATGGGATGCAAGGACTGGCTCTACTCCAGTCGTCAAGGTTACATCTCTTTCCTTCGTTTCTATCAGTTCAAGTGCTTTAACTTTGTATTCATGCAAATAACACTACATTAGTACATTTAAGTGTGTCAAACATATGGTTATTTCAAAATACTTGTTCCTGTGACCCATGGCTTTGATTTTTTCCATTTCTTAGACGGTTAAAATGATGGCAACTTACAGTGAACACCTTAATCCATAAAATGTGCAGAAAAACAGTTCTGACTGTTTTACAAAATGGAGCCTTTAAAAGGTTATTATATTTCTTAATTAGTTTACACTATATTGTTTCTATTACACATGAAAACTCGTACATAAATTCAGTTACATCTATACCTACACACACCCATGTGGATATTTGCATGTATAGTTGTGTCCTTTTGTTTTATTATGGAAATTGCTGTCATCAACATTCCATATCTGTGTTTAAATCATGGTTAGGCGAAACCCCGGTTCGCAACGGAAGATTGAAGGCCCAATTCCGAGAGAAACCGATATATGGGTGAGTCTCGAGACCCATAAGAGAATCGGCCAGTTCTCAAAGAACCAGCCGATTTTTAATGCAAAAAAGCCATTACGGCCAATAATTTTCTGGTTCTCTCATAGATTGGCTGGTTCAATATGTTCTATTCATTTGGGTCATTGCTTCTGAGCACAAAGGTCAAATATATTTTCTTTATAACCCCCCATTCTTTACATATTTCTTTTGGGTTTCTGATGTGGGAATAGCAACACAATGCATTCTCTAACCTCCATGTTGTTGGATTTTATAACTTCTACTTAAAACACTTATTTCCTTCACTTTTTGATGTGGTATGTGAGAGTAGATGGCAACGCTTATTTCCTACACTTTCCCACACTTGTTTACTTCTCTACACTTGTTTACTTCTCTAGACTTCTAACAAACATTAGGCAACTGTGTTGAATTAAATAAACCCATGGCAAATGTTTGCTGCAAGTTCATACAATCTCTGCAAAGGATTTAAATTAACCAATATTAATAAAAAACACTCTAGACATGTGGGTCGTTACAAGACACAAGAAAGAGAGTATGAGTAATGAGACATGAGCCAATTAAAAAGTAAGCCTCTTTGATTCAGTTGTGGTTTCAAAGAACAAAAAAAGTTGTTTCGCTGATAGCTATAAAAAATCCTTCTCGATTGCTGGAACTTGCAAGTTGTTGAGTTGTATTGTACTTTTTGAATTTATCTATGATATTTCTTTCTTGTCATAAAAAAAATAGGGTTAATTACAACGACACCCCCTGTGGTTTGCCATATTGACAGTCATATACAACTTAGCCGTTTTTTGTACAAAGACACCCCCCAGGTTTGCAAACTTGAACAATGACACCCCATTTTATAAAAACGGAGCCAAACACAGCCTTAAGTGACATGAAATGTCTAATATGCCCTAATATATATTTTAATCCTCACCTAAAATGACCAAACTACCCTCTCATCTCATCTCTCTCTCTCTCTGTCGTTTCTCTTTCAGTCCCTCTTTGAGTCACAGCGAAGAGGAACGGCCGGCAAGGCGGTGCAGAGAGCACGGACGGTGGAGAGCTCGGCCGGTGAAGACGGACTGGTTCGGGCAAGGTGGTGCCTGATGGTCTGGTTCGCGGCGTGATGGCAGCAGCGGTGGACTCGGCCGTGGATGATGGCGAAGGTGGCTTGCGGCTGTGGAGAAGGCGACGGCCGTGGAGGAGTCGGCCGTGAAGAAAAAGCTCAGCTTTGATGGAGGCGGCTGCGAGCTTGGTTTTGATGGCAGCCAGCTCGGACGGTGGAGAGATGGGGATGGCAGACTGGGCCATGGGCGACGGGCCGTTCTGCTCAGAACGGCGGTAGAACTGAATCGCCGTGGATGACTCGCAGCGGCTGCGGCTGTAGATGAACTGCGATAGTGCCCAGCGAGACGGATCCGGCTTTGGTGACGGTGGCTTATGAACCCTGAGGTGGAGATGGGCTGGCCGTGACGGCGATGGGTTGGTTGCGGCTGCAGCTGTGAGCTTGCGGATGATGGTGGCGAGCTCTCTCAAACCCCGTTCTCTCTTTCTAACCTCTTTATGCTCCAAGCAAACAACGGCAAGAATGGAATACGCCGGAAAAGATGGAGTTCTCTCTACCCATCCACCATCATCTCCACACATTACCCACCACCCCTGTTATCTTTTCTGTAATTTTTTTTTCAACCAAACCCTAGCTCCATCTATCTTCAAAGTGACTCAATAATCTACATTAACACTAACTGAAATATTTGTTTCTAATAATCAAATAGACTTTGTGTCGTTGCCGTGAAAACCTCTTCGAGTGTTGCCGTCGCTAGCTTCGAAAGAGTTGGAAGACCCTGTGTCATTGTCGTGAAAGTCTATTGGAGTGTTTGGCTGGTCGTAGCTGCCAGAGGCTACGGGCTGGTTCGGCTCGGCGGTGGTGGCGAACAGCCCGGCGGTGGCAATGGTAGTGAGCAGACGGTGGAGGAATGGATTGTGGTTTTGGATGGCTCAGATGAGGGCGACGACGGGACGGTGATGGGCTCGGCTGTGGGCCTGTGGTGGCTTGATGGATGGCGGGCAAGAAGGGCTCACAGGGAATGAATGGGAAGATCTAAAAATTGGAAGAAGAAAGGATTTTTTTGGACGAGGGTAATTTGGTCATTTTACATGGTCAAAGGGTAAACATGTACTTTCATCATGTTTGGGGTGTCATTGTTTAAGTTTGCAAACTTGGGGGGTGTCTTTGTTTAAAAAATGGCAAAGTTGTAAATGGCTGTCAATATGACAAATCTCAAGGGGTATCGTTGTAATTAACCTAAAAAAATAAAAATAAAAATTTGTGGACACATAATAAAAATTGATCATAAAATCTCATGTAAAAAATGATTTTATGTAATTTATTTTATACGTAGACAAAACTATATACTTTTCTAATTTATTTTAATTTTATATTTTTTATGGTATGGTGGTTCATATAATACCCCACGTCACTTTTCAATCTCTTCGGTGAGCTGGTGGTAGGGATGCGGTAGGAGTCTTCTACTCCGACCAGTCTCTGGAGTCATTAACTCCGGTGAAATCCTCTGCTACTTTTCTTCTATTTCCTTTTCTTTAAGTGATTTGTTGTTTCTGGAGTGTTTTTGTTTGTGTTCGTTTCATCTTAGTCATGCGCTCGTTCTTGGAGGTTGCTAGACTGCCTCGATTGTTTCAAGGTGGTGTTGCGAGATTTGCAAATCCGTATAGGGGACCATCGATTTTTTTGGATGACGACTCGGTTGGAAGGAGAAAAGATGACCTTAGGTAGTGTTTGGTGGGTTATTTTGATAAAGAAGTGGGCGATGGAGCACAGATTGCGGTGTGGGCTTCAAGAGCTTGGAAGATCTCCTATGGTGTGTCGGTCTCGCCGTTGCCTGACTCGCTTCTTTTGTTTCGACTTCCTTCTGCAGTCGAAGCATCTCGTGTTCTTAAAGAGGGTCGATGTGACTGGGGGAAGCAACTCTTCGTGTGGATGCTTGGAACTTCAAGGTGGGGTGTTCGGAGATCTTGAAAGAGAAGGGGTTGAAGAAGGTGACGATTTATGGCCTTCCACTTCACCTGTGGAGCCATGCTCTGTTTGTGACAGTTGGCAATTTATGCGGCGGGTTTATTTGGGTGGAGGCCGATAAGGCCATTGATGTAGAAAGAGTTCGTATTACAGTTTCTGATGGAAGGGTTTGTCCACCTTTTGTGTTCATTCATGACGATCGGTACTATTATAAGGTGGCAGTTTGGGAGGAGAAGCAGCCCGAGCTTGTTCCGACGACGGATTGCTTGGAAGCAGGCGATGGTTCGCATCTGCTTAAGGAAAAAGAATGGTTGAGGTGGGAATCCATGGGGAAGAAGGGGATGGCAGAGTTCCAGAGATGGAAGAATTGGAGAGATGCGTTGTGGATCCGTAATAAGGAATGTTTCAGAAGGCTTTTTGTTCAGAAACGTAGGGATGGGCTATCGTCTGGGTTGAACCGTCGCCGGCCTGATGGTCTCCGGCAGATGCAGTGGAATGGAGGCTCTGCCGGGACTGGTCATCGGCCATTTTTGCAGCGGTGGGATCAAAAAGGGTCTCGTCGTGGTGGTGTTCACGCACAACAAGCGCGTGGGAGTGGGAAGGGGAGATTTGCTGACCAACCACGTGGTTGGCTCCCAGGAGTTACCCGTTCACAGTGGAATACAGCTGTTTCCACGAAATTTTCAAATTCTGCTAAGTGGGCTGGTAAGAATCCGAAGCCCATACGCGATGATGGGCCTGGCATTGGGCCAGGGAATGGGGCTTTAGTTGATTGTGAGGGCTGCACTTCTTCTGGTGGGCCTGTTCAGAGGCATCCGGTTATTAGCAAGCCCGTTTGTGATTTGAGGTTGGATGGTGGACCGGTTGCCCATTCTTTTAAAGATGGGTCGGTTGGTGGGCCGGTTGCCCATTTGCTTTTTGATAGTTCGGCTGGGTTGAAAACTGGGCAGGTTGGTGGGTCTTCTTGCTCTGGGCCTGTTTTGAAGAATAGATTTGAGCCATTGACTTCCTCTTCTGTTGGTGGAAACTTGCATCTTTCTGGAAGAGTTAAGGAGGATCGGTGTTCAAGGGATCTGGTGCAGCGAAAACGTCTTCCTAAGAAAAGATCCTTCTTCCTGCTCTCCGCAAGCGTTGGACACAAAAGGATAAGCAGAAATGGGTGGCGTTTGTGCAGTCGAAATTTTATCCGGGTAAGTCCACTATCGTTTCTGGGGCACCTCCTCCTTGCTTCTTCTCTCCCTCTGCTTCTCCTCCTTCTCAGGGTGGGTCGAGTATTTCCTCTGATTTGAAGGATGGATTGGAGAACGGGCGAAAGGATGGTGTTGGGGTTTTCCAGGTTGATGGATTGGGTCCATCTCGGTCTGTGGTTCAGAAGAATGAGAGTGTCACAGTTTGTGCGGGACATGATTTGAAAATTTGTTTGGATGATGCTTTGGCGACTATGTTGTTGAGTGAGTTGCGGACT